AGCAAAAAGTTGAACACATTTCAACTCCATTAATTTTCCCTGTGAATGTTTTGGGATTAACCAGCCTTATATGTAAGGAAGAAACTGTTTTGTAGTAGATTGAGGCCTCAGTGTACGTGTGGTGTAAATGTATACCGGTACATGTGCGTACGTTCTTGATCTTATTCATACTACAACTATTCATAAGTTTGGTTACGGTACCCGCTGCTATATCAGATTCGAACCAGCCAGCCGACCCCAGCAAGCTCGGTGGTCGAGGGGCGGGACTTCTGCACAAGTAAGCAGGAGGTCGTGGGTTCGAGTCCCTTCCGAGTGATTTTTTTTTGCACAATCACTTGGGACAACATCGAGTATACAGTGTTTATAGAAATGCGTCGGTGGAGGGCCACAACCCAATATTGAAGCTACAACTATTGTTCATCAGGGTGCATACCTGCAAATAAACTCCCATAGACACTAGTGCTAAATGCCCGTACTTCAAAATTCTTTTAAAAATACTCAAAACTCTCACAGGTATTCAAGCTGCACAGAAAAATGATGATCAATGTGTCATCTTTCATTTTCTTTTCAATTTATGGTGGGTTGACCATTGACTTTTCGAGATATTTTCACGCAAAGAAGACGACCCCTATTTTCCCCAAAGCGGAAAAGTAGCCATCTTGAAAAACGATCCCTCCACAACATGGCAAAATAGCGCCACTTTCGAGCCCAATAGCATCCAAAATGCTCAGAATTGGAAGCCCCAAGTCCGGGCCAGAGGTTCACTACCATATCTCTTCAATTCCCCAATTTTACGGCGCTCAGAACTCTCTAATATAGAATATTTTGAGGGTATAACTTTTATTCATGAGCTTGGCGGATCGATTTACCGGTGTGTACCCTATAATAGCAGGCAACTTTTAAATTTTAACACAAAATCACATTCAGGACAAGCAGAATATCTCAAAAGTCAATATTTTGAAAAAAAAAATGAAAGAAAAATATTATCCGAGGTCGATATTAAGCCCGAAAATAGTGATTGTTTTGCCCCTGCTAAGCTGTAGAGCGCCCCCAGCGACAATAAATTGAGTTCCAGCTACTTTTAAGCTCAAAATGCCCCCCCCCCCCCCATTTCAACTATCAATTGTTGTAATCGGGTGATAGCCTACTGCTCCCTTATCATTTGGAAGCATCCGTTACGGAAAAAAAACCTTGTTGATACCTTTAAAACACTTTTTCCCCCTCCCCGTAGGTTCCGCCCACTGAAAAGACCACTGCCGCGGCACAGCGCATGCGCGAAACGGCCATCTTTGTGATTCTTTATAATAGCAGGCAACTTTTAAATTTTAACACAAAATCACATTCAGGACAAGCAGAATATCTCAAAAGTCAATATTTTGAAAAAAAAAATGAAAGAATAATATTATCCGAGGTCGATATTAAGCCCGAAAATAGTGATTGTTTTGCCCCTGCTAAGCTGTAGAGCGCCCCCAGCGACAATAAATTGAGTTCCAGCTACTTTTAAGCTCAAAATGCCCCCCCCCCCCCCCATTTCAACTATCAATTGTTGTAATCGGGTGATAGCCTACTGCTCCCTTATCATTTGGAAGCATCCGTTACGGAAAAAAAACCTTGTTGATACCTTTAAAACACTTTTTCCCCCTCCCCGTAGGTTCCGCCCACTGAAAAGACCACTGCCGCGGCACAGCGCATGCGCGAAACGGCCATCTTTGTGATTCTTTATAATAGCAGGCAACTTTTAAATTTTAACACAAAATCACATTCAGGACAAGCAGAATATCTCAAAAGTCAATATTTTGAAAAAAAAAATGAAAGAAAAATATTATCCGAGGTCGATATTAAGCCCGAAAATAGTGATTGTTTTGCCCCTGCTAAGCTGTAGAGCGCCCCCAGCGACAATAAATTGAGTTCCAGCTACTTTTAAGCTCAAAATGCCCCCCCCCCCCCCATTTCAACTATCAATTGTTGTAATCGGGTGATAGCCTACTGCTCCCTTATCATTTGGAAGCATCCGTTACGGAAAAAAAACCTTGTTGATACCTTTAAAACACTTTTTCCCCCTCCCCGTAGGTTCCGCCCACTGAAAAGACCACTGCCGCGGCACAGCGCATGCGCGAAACGGCCATCTTTGTGATTCTTTATAGGGTGCATACCTGCAAATAAACTCCCATAGACACTAGTGCTAAATGCCCGTACTTCAAAATTCTTTTAAAAATACTCAAAACTCTCACAGGTATTCAAGCTGCACAGAAAAATGATGATCAATGTGTCATCTTTCATTTTCTTTTCAATTTATGGTGGGTTGACCATTGACTTTTCGAGATATTTTCACGCAAAGAAGACGACCCCTATTTTCCCCAAAGCGGAAAAGTAGCCATCTTGAAAAACGATCCCTCCACAACATGGCAAAATAGCGCCACTTTCGAGCCCAATAGCATCCAAAATGCTCAGAATTGGAAGCCCCAAGTCCGGGCCAGAGGTTCACTACCATATCTCTTCAATTCCCCAATTTTACGGCGCTCAGAACTCTCTAATATAGAATATTTTGAGGGTATAACTTTTATTCATGAGCTTGGCGGATCGATTTACCGGTGTGTACCCATCAGCCTTCACGATTGTAGGCCTACAATTGCGCCATGGTTGTACAAACATTTATGCCGTCATGTACAAACAAAAGACAAGGCTTTTATCATAATGTGAATTATAACTGACCTCAAATTGATTTTAACAAGTTGGTCTCAAATAATATTTTTGTAAATATGCAATGCACAAAATATCACCCTGTCTTGAACACGTATTCTGGAGCTTTTTATCATTCAAGGAAATGAAGGATAAGTAAAACGTAAATGTGAACATGTTAAGAGACCATCCCTTTTAATACAAGTTTGAATTAAGAACCATTGATTTCTCCTGAAACAGTACATGTACATGTATACATGTACCCTGAGACCTGGATACATACACAATGTACATGTACATGTACATTGTATGTACAGTACATGTCATGTGTTGGTGTTCATCCAAGTGCACCTTGCTTGTAAAGTTGTAGACATGGATGCGGTTTTGGGTGCTGGTCGTGACCCCTGGGTGTTGAGTATGGACTTCCCTGAAAAAGTGTGAATTGTGTGGGAGTTGCACAGTGGGGCGTTCACACATGTTGTATTGTGGTTTAGTTGGAACTGCTGAACAAATGGGACAAAAAGGAACATTAGGAACTATTTTCCCATGTTCAGTTTGTATTGCTCCATGGTCTTTTACAGTCTGATAGTCTGATAACTGTGGAAATAAATCTTGAATCTATATGTGGAAAACTGAATTTGGTAACTTTAATAACATAGTGGCCTTGGACTTATTACATGTATCTCTTTGAGCTACATGTATGACATTGTCATACACTCTTGCTTCAGAACTCAACATTGTGTGCCCCGGCTCTTCAACAAATTCAATTTGTTTTGCTCTTGATAATTTTTTTAATTTCATGTTTTACTCCAACCAAAACAACTCTTTTTTATGTCTGTGACTCTCTAGTAAAAGACTTTTATTTTGGGCACAAACAGATCCACTTAGTGAGCAGACTGGCTCCCGGTTTGTACATTATTGATACTGATTGTGGGTCGGGAACCAGCCTCCCCCCCCCCCCCTCCCCCCCCCCCCTCCTTATAAAGTAATATTCCAATACCTGAACATCGGCCGATGTTTTTCGGTCAATGTCGCATTAAGAAATGAATAACTTGTATATTGCTAGGCAAACAGCAATTTAGAAGAAAAAAAAGAATCTATTGTTCAGGATGAAACTCAAAATTAACACAAGGAATGTAACTTGCTAAAAGTGGTTAAAACATGCACTGTTTAGTTTGCATGGCAGTGAACATATACACATTTCTTACATACATGTACATGGACAAGAACGTGTACATATTTGTGTATTTACTTTTATATTAAGAAGTTAAATTTGTCTGAGTCAGATATTGCCTTTGTGGTATAACTTTAACCATGGAGAAATTTCTCCATTACTTAACCCTGTGAGAAGACGAAACCTAATCACCAGTTTTTCCTCCGACTGTAATTACAAACCAGTAGTTTAGCAGCATTCCATCAACACTGAACAGCTGTTGAGCATCAAGCAGAAACCAAATCTGACAGACACCAGGGGCAAAAAAATGTCCACAGACTTGATCTCTGGCGTAGGAGTTATTAATAAGTACTTGCTAAGCCCGGTGCAAGGCCCTGGGGATGTTTTGTTAAATTACAGGGGATCTGTACAGGGGGATCACACTTCGGAGATAAAATTACCCCATTTGGAAAGGTGGGGTTAAAAAAGTATTGTGGTGGTCTGAAATAAACCTAAAAAGGGGTCGGGTTAAGGTCAAAGCCTTACATTGTAATCCGGTTGATTGGATCATTTTGTTTGTGTGGAATTTCAGTGTTTTTTTTTTCTCTTCGTGTTTGTGTTATGGGATGTTTTATGTTCAATAAAAGTTGAGCGCTTGTAAGAGCCGAGGTATCGTAAATATGTACTTGAAAGTGAAAATGGGTCGTTAAACTGACTTCGGAGTGGTTTGGAAGAAGAAGACATAAATTTGTTTTATTGCGCTTGTGGCAAGGCGCAACAATCCTAGCTCTGTCTGTGTTTTTGTGTCAAATGTGCACCAGGATTTTCCTTATTTTGCCTTGATAAACATGTAGCATTGTAGTGAAATAAGGTAATAAGAAAGTAGGAAAAGATAACGGATTGTTCCTCATTATCACTTAGAATGTTTTTGTAAAGCTTAAAATAAATGTAACACACAAAAAAAGGTTGCGAGAGGGAAGATCATTTTATAACATATGGGATTTCTTACCATGTTGAACATGTTATTACTCGTTGTTACTGCTTGTATCGCTCATTTCTTTTGCATGCAGAGTGCTGGGTTTTGTCAATCAGCTGGAGAGAAACATGATTTTCCTTCGTTCTTGACTAAAACTCGTCGTCATTTTTTTTGTTTCTTTGCACATCACAGACTTCCATACAGAACCAACCATGTGCAATGGCCCTGTACAAGTACGACGCTCAAGAACATGGGTGAGTCATTACGTTCAACCTAATATTGATTGAAAATTAACCCAGTCCGTTTCCCTGTATTACTTACTTGCTTAAAGGCACATAGGATCATTTGCATTTATCCCGCAAGTAATCTACCAATTTATAATCAAACAGCTTACTTGGATTAAAGATCGTCCTGGTACTAAACACCCTATGAAATTATTCTGTCTGACTTGCTGTCATTAAGAAATCAAGAAATGTAGGTGATTTCCAAAGATCAGTCAATTGACTGATCTTTGGAAGTAAAGAGTTTTAAAGACAAAATCATGTTTCGTGATCGAAAGGTTGTGCATATCCGCTGAGCTGAAACTTGAACAGGTTACATTTTGAACATTCGTCTTTGGATTTTGAGTGGTGTTATTATTGGAAAGCAAATGATCCTATATGCCCTGACAGAAATTTCTTTTCTTCCGCAGCGATCTCTCCTTCAACAAGTCGGACATCATCCTGTTGCATAAAAAGATTGATGAGAATTGGTACCAGGGAGTGGTGATGGGTACCAGTGATCAGATCGGTTTCTTCCCGGCCAGCTACGTGCAGGTACTCACCCCTCTGCCACCAGACCCGCCCCAGTGCAAGGCATTGTACGACTTCGAAGTCAACGAACAGGAGGAGAAAGATTGCCTAACTTTCAATAAGGTAAAATTCTTTCTTAAGCTTTCGTGGGACATACATTTCTGTGGAACTTATATTATCATAGGTCGTTCAAGTTTTTCTTGCAATCTGTTTGAGTGTTTCATCTCAGAAAATATAGTTCGACTTTGATTGTTGGGTTAACATTGTGATTGACATCAACCAGTCAAGCACACATTTCAAATTCTTGTTAATTTGTGACGCAGCTCATACATTTAGAGACATGTTTAACAAATCATGGAGAATAAGCTTCACAAGAACATGTGCTTTGAGACTGAGAGAAATCTTGCAAATGGTTACTTGGGTAAGATGCAGTACAGATGTGATTAGGATTGTTGGGTTCAGAAATCACAGAAAGTGATTTCCGCAAGTATTTCCTTTAGCTTTTCTCTTTCCTTTTCGTGTTTCTTTTCAACACAGTTGCAATGACTGACAAATCATTGCGATTATTGTAAACAAAACAACAACAACCATCTCATTCAACTATTCTCTTTGTTCCACTGCCATTCATCAGCAATTGAGTCAACTAGTGTTTGTATCCTATCCTTTGGCATACTTCTAGTGCCTTTACACAACAGCCTAAATATTTTCTTGACATTTGGCCGCATTGATGTTGATTTCTACACTCAGAGACCTGTCAACAAGCCTATGATGTATCCCATCCTTTTAACAATGTCCTTCCCCCAGTCCTCATGTAACCTCATTACTCCATGCGTCAAGTCCTCGCTTCCCAGTCATCCTCCCCTCCAGCACATCCCACCGTCAACCATCCACCGATATCTCCTTAACCTCCAAGACAGACAGACTTGATGTCTCACGGTTTCCCCCCAGATCTGATGACGGTGATACTGGCCTTGTCAAAACGTGTGACATATGAAAATAAATGCCCGTTGATGTGACTCACTACATTCTCAGAGTCCGCTACATTAGCCAGAGGGCCGTGGCAGATAAAGCTCCCTCTGGTTTCCACATCATCCTTATCCCCTTCGTTCTCACAGACAGTTTGTTTCCAGCGTTGTTCCGCTTTGCAACATGTGGAACAGATTTTGAGGAGGAAAAAATTCCTCAGTGCTTACAATCGTAGTTCATATTTTGTAAAGAGTATGAAGGAAGTCCCCAAAGTACGTAATAGCTTTCGGAAATCTGACCCTAAATGGTTTTACCATCTCTGTTCGAAATCAATCCCAGCTTTGAGTTCTGGATGCAATATTTTTGGATTTGCTCGCAAAATTTCTGATGGTGCTAATTTTTTTTCTCGAATATTCACATGTATACATGCATTTTGGGGCAGAGCACATACACGATGTACATGTACGTGTTCTTGTACAATATTTATCCGTTTGGAATCTACGGTATATTGCAAACATATGACTTAGTTTCTCATTTTTTGAGACATGTTTCAAGTCTGGATACAAGTCCATACAGGTAACAAGCCTAATTATGTATGCCTTGACTTGTGTATTGAACATGTTGGAGAAGGAACTCTATGCAGCTGTTCTGTGTAGAGTAGGTACAGTACATGTAGGACACATTATGCAGTGACAGCCTAGAGATGACTTTGTAATGTGTGAAAGAAAGCTGTGAAGAGCTTGATAGGAAGGGGGCCTGGGATGGGTGTATTGGGATGGGGTGTGTCGGGGATGTGTGAAGATTGGTTTTGGGGAATATCATTGTTGGTCCGTAAAGTGCTATGCCTGCACTCATAAATGAACAACATGAACTTGGAAACATTGCTTGACTATTCATGTGAGACAAAGTCAAGTATCTGCCTGCATGTAGGACAAAGATTTATTTCTTGCAGAAGAGACTTGCTTCACACACAAAAAAACAATAATTATCTTCTGGTGTATATTGCTTATAAGTGACTAGCTCATATTTTGTTCTGCCGAGTAGCTTTATTAAATGTGGTCTTACATAACATCAGGACAGGATTGCTCTATTGAAAGTGTCTTTTTTCCCCCCATTTTTATCATCTTATGTGTACTTCTAGGATGAGGTTCTGAACGTGATCAGGCGTGTTGATGAGAACTGGGTGGAAGGAAAGAAGGGAGACAAGATCGGCATCTTCCCTCTATCGTTCGTTGAGGTACCGTTAACATCTCTTCATTATGGACAATTTTTTTTAAAATTCATTGTAATTGCTCCCAAATTGGTTTTGCAAGGTCGAGTCAGATTTATTGCCATGGCTGTGTTAAACCCTAGCCTGATACTTCAAAATCCATCAGGTTTGATTTTTGGAGGATTTTGAACGGTTTATCACGGTAGAGCCATTGTTTTTACACTTAGCCCGACGTCCGTTGCTATTAGTTAAAGTACTAATGTCCCATTGGTTTGTGCGCAGTGGCAGACTGTGAAGGCTTCAGAAGCGTCCTTTCATTAATGAAAAAAAAAAATGCTGAGCGTGTCATAGTTAGTGTAAAAGCGACCAGTTAAGTGTGGTTATTTCGTGTCCAGGGTTCAGAATCACTTGAACTTGATGACACCAAGCCTGCACATTAACAACTCATCTGGAGTGTGGTTTTTATAGCACAATTCATGGTATTTTACTGGTACTGTTGACTGTTTCTCTCTAGAGACTCATTACATTGCCTGGTATCTCATATGAACCTAAACTTCAACCTGAGTTCACCACTCATCGGCCACACATCAATGAAAATGTAAACAGTAGATCAATAAAACCAAGCCTCCTTTGCGTAAAATCGCACAAACTGTGACCCGCTTTTTTCATGTAAGCACTCCAAGTGAAGTAGCGCATTGTTTATTTTTTTTCAGGTTTTAAAAACCTGCCGTTGCAATAAAACATTGATAGTACAAGACAAGCTGGTATTTCAGTGTCAAATTAAACCCGTCGTTTTTCTTTTATAAAACTCATCTTGCTATCTCCCCCATTTCAGCTGAATGGTACAGCCAAGGCTTTAGTGGATGCACACGCCGGTATTGACATTAGCTCTGGACCGTCCCATCAGTCCCAAGGTAGCGGGGATGCAGGCAGCAACCCTGATCAGACGGGATCCGGTCAGGAGGGCGGCAGGTCAGTGTCATAAATCTCCTAGGAAGTAGGGCATGTTATCACTAATACTTGACCACTTTTGACACTCTCCAGAAATTGTAATGATGCATGTAAAATATTGGACTGTCCCGTCAAATTTTTCATCAAAATTTGACATCTGCTCTTTAAAATGAGACTATTCTTTTTGCCATCATTTTACTTGAAGAATAAGAGTAACTTAACATCTTCTGTAGTTGCATCCTTTTAAATATCTGTTTTTCCTATCCTTTCGTTGTCAAAAAAAGATTTTCACATCAAGTTTTGACATCCGCTTTTTGAAATAATAACATTCTTTTTGCCGTCATTTTACTTGAAGATTAACTTAAGGTCTTCTGTATTAGCATCCTTTTTTAATTCTTGTTGTTCCTATATCTCCCTTTTCAGAAAAAAATGGTCCTCACACTTCAGATGTGTACGTCAAGTTACAATGATTTGCATCATTTTTGTTCTCTCGAGTGAACTGCAAGTTAAAATGTACTATTGTTTCTCTTTTCCAGTAAAAACAAAGCCAAGCGTCACTCGTTCACCTCCCTCCTCGGCCTGAGCGTGTCAGCCCAGAGCAAGAACAAGGACTCCCAGCCCAGCACTAACGCTAGCGCCAGCACCAGCACCAGCAATGCAGCAAGCAGCAGCAACAGCGGCGGCAGCAGCAGCAACAGGCATTCCATGGAGATCAGCTCCCCTGTCCTGGTACGTTCCAGCAATCCCACGGCGGCCAATCTCATCGACAACAAGGCAGCGACGACATCACAGCAGGCTGCGGCAGGTACTGCAGCTGCAGCAACAACATCGACTGGTGCTACTGCGACAGCTGCAGATGCATCATCATCATCAACGACGTCTGCTGCAAGGAAGAAGCCAGCTCCCCTGACTGGTATTTCACAGGTTAGGTCATTGTTTTTTAGTATACATATCTACTAAATATTTTAGAGTTGGGTAGCGTAGTTGGTAGAGCACTGGAACAGCAATCCGGAGGTCGCAGGTTCAAACCCTGCTCCAGTCAGTTTCTTTGTTCAACTTTAAAACTTTATAATCTAGTGCAATTCAAGAGCATACTCGGGTTGGAAACGTATCAGGTGGGACTCAAACCCTCGAACCTTCTGCTTACTTGTTCCAGTATCTTGCAGCTCAATCACCAAGTTTGCTTGGATCTGCTGGTTAGTTCAAATCTGAAATTACATCTTCCCAGTATAAAATGTCATCCATAGTAATTGATATCTAAACATGGAGGTACAAAGCAAGCTCAGCGGTTGGATGGTTGAGATGTCTGCGCTCGTAAAATGGTGGTTGTGGGTTCAAGTCCTGTAATAGAAAGATTGTGTTTCTTGGACAGCAGTCCGTATACAGCACTTACAACAGTTACAATTTACATCTTTCAGAAACAAAAGATTCCATTAAAAGTCATTGTATGTTATACACAAAGTTAAGTGAGCAAATAATGTCAGGATTATATCTGTGTACAAATCACTGCAATCAAAAGTTTGTTCTGGAATAATACCTGAATGTTGATATATATTTCTCCAGATTCCCGCCAGCAGCACTCGAGGGCCCAACTCCCCCAGCGTGGCTGCTTCCCCGACTGTCACCCAGGCTGGCAATGCAGATTTCAGATTCGTGGCAGAGGCACCAGCCTCGCCCAAGCCAAAAGTAGAAGTGTAAGTGTGAAAAAGAAGCAACAAAGGTCAACTAAAAATCCTAGAGACCTTTCTTTTCTTTTTTGTCACAGTCATAGTTTTTGCCAGCTGGTGGTGAGCGAAGTGTGGGTAGCAAATCTTTGCAGAAAAGAAGAAAAGTACACTCAAGATAGCTATAAAAAAATACACCATTTAAAAACTGTAATTCAAGTGAATAAGTCTATAAGTTCTGTGAGTTCCATCCTTATGTTCATCCCAATCTTTGAAGGCACATAGGATCATCTGCTCTTCATGCATTTTGTTGTTCCGTAGTAACACCACTCAAAATCCAAAGAAGAATGTTCAAAACCTTTTTGGAGTTTCAGCTCAGTGGACATTACACTTACTGAGAAAACAGTAAAAACGCTGCAGACCATTTTGATCACAAAACACGATCTCGTCAATAGCACTCTTTATTCCAAAAATCAGTCAATTGACTGATCAATGGAAATCACCTACATTTCTTGATTTCTTCTAAGTGACAGCAAACCTGACAAAATAATTTCACGGGGTGTATAGCACCATTTCGATCTTTAATCCAAGTAAACATTTTGATAATAATTTGGTAGGTCACTTTTGGGATAAATGCAAATGACCCTACATGCAATTAAATCTAGACTTTCTCTTCCTGTCTTCAGTTACGTGGCCATGTATTCCTACAAGTCCACCAAGCCCGATGAGCTGGAGCTTAAGAAAGGCGATTTTTACACCGTGACGGAGAAATGTAAAGATGGCTGGTTCAAGGGCATGGCTGTCAAGACTGGTGACTTGGGCGTCTTTCCTGGAAACTACATGCAGGCTTACAGGTACGAGACTTCATGTCCAAAATGGCTTTTTTGTTAATGGCTGTGGCTGTTCACTGTAGCTTGACAATGTCAAAAATGTAAGCCGTATCCACAAAATACCCAAATTGAGGCAACCTGAACTAACCATGATGGCACACTAAATGAGTTCATTAGACTGAACTTATAAGTTTTTGAACCTTCAAAACACAATTGTGGTGCTCTGCCATCCTTCGTTTTTGGAATTTCAAGTAAAAGAAGACTGAATATTAGCAATTTATGAGTTTTGAACCCGAATTTCTGAGTATCTTCCCAGAGCCAATTTCAATACTAACGATGTAACTTTTGTTAGATACAAAAGTTTGAGTCACCTGCTACACATACCTTACAAATAATAGACACTATTCTTCATGATGTAGCATTGAGTATATAATTTTGGTATGAGATGTTATTGAGGGAATATTCGTAGCTTCCTATTAATTGTAGTCACAGAAAAATGGAGTTAATTAGTTATTGTGTTGTTTTATCATCAGGCATGATAGATCAACCAGGAAAGTCACCACCACTGCACCTGACACCAGGACCTCGCAATCCACGTCCACTGCTACCTCATCACCCAGCCAGGGCTTTAGACCACGCCTCCCTAGCGACGCAGCATCTCGGGCTGCCTCCACCAACCAGAGAGCAATGCCCACGGAGGCTCCCGGTAGCCCCTCCCCAATCCAGGGGATGAGACCAAGGGTCTTGAGCGACGCTGCCTCACGGATGTCAGCCCAACGTGCTTCCGCAGCTGCAGCAGCTGCAACAACTGATGCCTCGACGACATCACCACCTGTTGGCCTGAGCTCTGCCACAACTCAAACAACCGGCACCCGGCCCGCCGCCAATGCCTCTCGACCTGTGGGCCAGTCTTCTCAACCAACCTCCCCTGCTCCGATGCAGCAGGAGGGTAGGCCCATGGCACAAATTCCCGATGGACAGAAAACTGTCGCTCAGCTGCAGAGTGAGCGCGCTGCCCAGAAGCTGCAGTTCAGACCGCCCCCGCCAAACTACCCAGCGCGCTCAAGTCTTTCAACTGTGGCGCAGGGTAGGGCAACTGCTGCTCATTCTGAGAGGAACCTTAGAGGAAGTCCCCCTACTGTGGGGACGCAAACTGCTGCCATGTTGGCAAGAACTAGTGTCAGTCCTGCTGGGGTCCAACAACCCCAATCCCCAGGGGTGCAAACCAGACATGTAGGGGTGTCAAGCGCACCCATCAGTGTCAGACCTAGGGCATCCTCTGGACAAGCTGCGGTGGGATCTCCACCCACGCATAATGGAATACTCCAGCGAGTACGCAGTCCTAGCTCACCTCAGCCGGGGTTGCAGGATGGTACCACAACAAACGATATGGGGAATGCAGTCACAAAGCCCAGGGGATCCCCCATCCTGGGTCAGGGGTCACCTAAGGGAGCAAGTGTGAGCGGTTGTGCCAACCAGCCCCAGTCCACGCCTCCACAGGTAGAGGTCCATTTAAGCAGTTCAACAAGTGCCAAAGCTAAACGTCACTCCGCACAAATCCCGGCTGCAGCAGCTGAGGCCCAAGCCAGGCAGCAAGCACTGAAGCCACGCCGTCACAGCGAGAGCGACAACGATTCGGTGCGATCACGCAGGACAGTGCAAGCCAAAGCTACCACCACCCAGCAACACCCACCACAAAGCAATGCCCAAATGCACCCTGTTGCTTCATGCTCTGCTCAGACCAGCAAGAATAATCTTGCTGCTGCCACTACCGTATCAACCTCACAGCCCCATCCCAGCAAACAAACTGTTGTAGTGTCTTCCGCCTCTAGTCAGTCACATAGCAAGCCCAGTAGTCCTAGTCTGTACAGGGTATCCGATAATTTGCCATTCACGCCCCCACCAAATGTCACTGCACCTGATTGTGTTGTTGCGTCTTCCCTTGCCGGTCCTACTAAGATGGACAAGGTAAGGAGCTCTGTAGCTTGTGTTGTTGCTTCATTTTGCCTGAATTTGTTGATGTCTGTTTCTTTCTTGCAACCATAGTTTTAATCAAGTCCTTACAAGCGAATCCCAAGTCCGTCCATTCCAATTCAAGCGACAGCCTATTCAAGTGAACTGTGATAAATGCATTCCTTAGTCATAATTCATTCACAGTGACTTGTGACGTTACTTATGATTGTCTTGTGATTTGACTCGACTGAAACCCTGCTTGCTACATCTGTTTGTTTCTGTATCCATGCTTAAAGCTTCACCCTCAAAAGCTTTTAGTCAGACTTCTAGTTGTGCTGAATCAAAAAAGTAGACTACAACATTTCTTTCCCGGTCTGTATTAATTTTTTTACAATCTGATACATTTATGTGATTCTTCAATCAATGCTTGATTGTCACAAGACGTTGATGGGATTGTTTTTGGATCAAAAATTCCTCTATTAAATTGAGTATTGTGCCTTGAAATTTCACTTCATCTTGTTGACTAATTAACTCAGAATCTGTCTGGCAAGACTTGATTCTGCAAAATGAGATAGAATCACATAAACTTACTGACGGTAATTTCACCCTCTAGAACACTGAATTTTTGCTTCCCCTGTGTCTAACAGAAGGACAGGAAGGATCGCAAAGCCTCCAAGAAGCGATCCCAGGTGAGTCCGGACGAAGCAGCACCAGTACCCTTGGCTCGCCTCAGCTCCCTACCTGACGGGCAGGACCCCTTGTCCACTGACGCTTCTCCTCAGCCCCGCCCCAGCCCGAGTCTCCCTCTATCTGCCACTCCGTCTGCTGTACAGGGAGAAGGGAGTGGGGAGGAGACCTCACTAGGAGCAGAGGGGGTCAGCGATGGTGCTAGTGCCGTGGAGAGGAGGGACAAGCCACCCAAGACAACTCCACTTGTCCGAGAAAGGTAAACACAAAAACACAAATTGCCAGAAATGGAAAACTTATTCAATTTTAAAATCTCGGAAAGTAAAAGAGAATTGAGAATTGAACATTATGCAAGATTTCATTTCAAAATCTCGGAAAGTAAAATAGAACTGAGAGTTGAACATTATGCAAGATTGGAAAAATATTTTGGAAGAGGAGCCAAAACCACCTTGAGGAGCCGAAATCCATGATGAAAACTTTAAAATTGAAAAGAATGAACATTTATAATTCTGTATTTTTATCAAATTGAATTGCGCATAGAAGTTATCGAAATTGGAATTCAAGCCATGTAATCAACTTTTTGTCTTCAGTACTGAATTGAGAGCGCACTGAACGATCTTGTGGCATTTGATAATTTCAGGTACCGAGTGACGGTTCCCTACCCGCCACACAGCGATGCCGAGCTGGAGCTGAAAGTGGGCGAGACGGTCTTCGTACACAGCAAACGGGAGGATGGATGGTTCAAAGGCACCCAGCAGAGGACGGGGAAAACAGGTCTATTCCCTGGAAGCTTTGTGGAGAGCTACTAACTAAGGATGTGTCCAAGTTGGGTACTTTTGTGGATCTCAGCCTTATGTGTTGCCATAAGAGGAGAATGAAAAATTAAACAGGCAGTAACTTGAGCTTTAGCTCAAGGTTTTACGAGGTACTACGAGTTACCTTGGGGTGCCTCTGGGTTCAACCTCAATTTACCACTAGGTACCTTGAGGTACCTCTGGGTTCAACTTCAAGTTACAATTAAGAACCTCAAGGTGCCTCTGGGTTCAACCTCAAATTACCACAAGGTACCTCGAGGTACCTCAGGGTTCAACCTCAAGTTACCACTAGGTACCTTGAGGTACCTCTGGGTTCAGCCTCAAATTTACCATTCGTCCCTAACTCTGGTGGACAGTCACTCTGCAAAGCAAATTTTAACCAAATCCTGCAGTGTTTTCATGTGGTAGCTAAATACATTACTGAACATGTTTGGCTAAAATACACTCTGGAACATGTTTTAATAACAACATATCTATAGATTTCAATGTGATGTAATCATCAGTAAGCAGAACACATGTGTTTAAGTGATTGCAGTATCAATAATGATCTGGCAGCCATATTAGCAGCACTAGTAACACAAAAAGCCTGTGCCTTCACCCTCTTTTGTGAAATGTAGTCTAGTCGCTTAATATTCAATGGAAATGACATGGCCCATGTGCTTATTTCAGAAGAAAAAGTTAACGTACTTAGAGCATGTGAACAGTAAGTGGTTCAGCCTAAACCATTGAAGGTGGTTCTTGTTATTGAATTATCATCATTACAGATGCCTTCATCCAATAAGTGTTTGCCTTTTGCTACGTATTAAGTAAAATGTTGCCATGTGTTTACGGCTGTGTCTGAATCAGTTCTTGTTAGTAATGGCTTTCTTTCTTGCTACTTACACACTACTGACACTAGTCATAGCCATAGACAGAAGTAACGGATTCTGAATAGGTGGCAGATACTGCAAAATGTTCAAAAACAAAAACAAAACAGAATTTCAAGGTTAACATAACTTATAGGTTTTTTTTCCAGAGATACCTGCTATTATTCTCAGTTTTAAGCGTCAATATGTAACTTAGTGCTGCAGTTCAGTGCCTCAATATTTTCAGGATTACAAGTTTTTACGTTGAGAATTTTTGAGCAAATAAGCTGTTATCCTGTGTTTGAATCTATTCCTGATAAATGGATACTGTTCTAACTTATATGCTCTGCCCATTCATTGTTCACAAATAACGAATTTGAATTTTCTTGTGTACTATGGTGTTTCAACAAATGTGTGGTTGGAATTCCACACAAAGCCAAAATTTAGTTTTGTATGTATACCCTGTAAAAAATGAAATTGGTGGTGGGAAAAAAAAGGACCCAACGAGCATCCATTGAAAGGAAACGATGAATATCATGTAGTTGAAAAGCAAATCTTTAACATAGATATATTAGCAGAATTTTGTAACGCCAGCTATATATTTTTAACAGCTGGTTATTGTTAACAAATAACAGTATTATTGTTGTTAATAAAATATATCAATATTTGGTTGAAATTGCTGCATGCAGTATGTTCACCTATAGTTGTTTTTTTTGTAGTTCCTGATTGTAAAGAAAACTATTAATTGGCAAAGAAATTTCCGATATTTGAAAGTAGTATTTATCCAAATCAAATGAAATTTGACCTGATAATTAACAAGTTATAGTAGAAGTCTAATTCACACATTTTAACTGCCTGACAAACCAGAATAAAGCACAAAATAACTTTAAAACAAAATTACCTTTTGTTTTTTGGTATTTTCAATTAGTTTTTGAGGTCTAAAAGAAACTTGATTACTTTCTAATCGGCCTAATGTTGAAGTCGATTTTGCAACTGAACGTGAATTTACTTGACCAAACCTTTTGAAAAAAAATGTCTTTCAGTTAGGTCACATTTTCCTCAGGCATTTGGTGATATATGCACATGAAAAAAAAATGCATTACAAGTGTCAAACATATCCCCAACACATTATTCTTTTGTAAAGCGGTTTGGATAATACAGCCTAAATGTAAAAACAAAATGATTTGCTCGGCTATTTTTGTACCTGTACCTGCTTAAAAAAAAAAACAATATTAAAATGTACTCTGTTTACAGAGGCTGAGATATTTATAAAGTAACACTACTTTCAGCCAATTTTGCTCAACTGCTGTTAATCTAGTCGCTAAAGGAAATAGCTTCCTTACTGATTCTGTAGTAGATATTTTTCTTTGAATTCAAGATGTAGGTTTTCATAATGCTACATGGACACAGAAAGTTTGTTTATTTACACAAGTGCATTTGAGGTTCATTCTTAAAACATTGTGAATTGGCCTCACATCAGAAACTGTTTTGTTTGCTACAAAACAACAGTATGTGTCTTTGCCGCGAAAAAGTGTCGCTAACAATAAAGATATATGTAACACAGATGATTATTTTTTAAGTGATTAGAATGTACATGTACATAGTATAACAAATTGAAGTTAATAATGAATCCAGAATGCAGTAGAATGTGGAATAATCAGTACTTGTCTGTACCAATTTTGTTTTTCAATAAGTCTGGGAACCATTCCTGAAAAGCTGTGTCCCATAGTCTGTCACCCCATTGAACTCAATGACCTGCAATTTTCTTATTCCAAGCTAACAATATAGCTGACTGATTGTCCTACTTAAATTATTTTAATGTCTTGGATTAATTTGCATAATGCACACTTTTATGGAAAAAAAATTGCTGATTAATTCTAATACCCAAAATAAATTGTACTATTGTACCAATTGTGATAATGTTTGATAGTACTTCTGCTAAAGCCATGTCACCAAATGCTCATTGTGACTATTTTTTTTAAGCCAACTGCCACCAAAAAAAACAGGGTAGAGATTCAGAAAATTCAGGTTTGCTTGACCGGTTCGTTTTTAAGTACTGCATCTGTATTCGTGCAAGAATATATGTTCAGTAATTGCCACTTTTGTATTCAGTTCACTTTGTGTTAACTCTTTATTAATAAAAAAATGTACTTGCATTATGATCCGAAGTTAGGTACATAAATGTCAATAAATATTAACCCTGAAACTGAAAGATATTTTGTTTGCTTTTTGGTGCATCGTCTGTTTGTTTGTCGTTTGTCTGTTTGTCATGTGTTGACTGTAAAAGAATTGAGACCGCATAAATGAGGAACATACTCTACTCATATACAACTATTGATATTTAGTCAAGGATGATCAAGGGAAAGAATAAATGTCTGAACATTCTTCAAATAAGAAGGTACCGGTAGCTAATCTTAGTCAATCTCTCATTTTTTAATAGGTTACATATTATGGTGGGCGGGGCTACATCTTTAGAAATAAATAATAAATAGTTACAATCATTGTCACTATTGAAAGCATCATCATTTTTTTTCTAAATTATTATTTGGCTCTTATGTCAAATTCTTGTACCCAACGTCCCCCTTTTGCACCACCGATCTCGCATTTATATTTATTTGTTTATTTTTTTGGCGTGTTTTGCCTTTTTAATCAAAAATTACTGATTTGAATAACTTCTCGTGTAATCTAAATATTCAGATTTCACCTCAAAACAAAAACCTAGAACAGGTGGAGTCTGGAACAGCCATTGGACGAACGACAAACGATGGATTAATTTGCATATCATTATGCAAATATTTGGTCTGGTGTCCAGGTTCTGTGGGAGAAAGAGCCGTTTCTTTCTACGCTGACAAGCGCAGACGTTAATTTGGTTAATGGCACCACACTGGGTGTGGAAAATTGGCGCTCTTGTTGGAGTGCGTAGCCCGTCACGTGTGACTCGTGCACGCGTTGGCATTTTGCAGCACCGCTTTCGTTGGGTGCGGATGTGTTCTTCAATACGACAAAACGACAAAACGACAAAATTTCGTTTCAAAACAATGTTGCAAATTCTCAAGAAAACTCAAGAATACTGAGCTAACACCATTCCTCCTGGTTGTCAGAACCTTGGTGCGTACATGACAAGCCGTTTTTACCATTTTCTGAACTGCTTCGGCCAGCAAAATAAAGACTGAATTTGTGAATCTTTCTCCACAATGGTCATGAAGGTAGGTCTCGATGTTTGTCTCTCTATATATATTAATAATAATGAAATGACTGATTATTTTGTTATACTCCGGACCAGACATTAAAAGCGTACACAAGAAAACACTTAAATATGAATTGTCTTTGTTGGTTTTTTTTTTTAACTGTCAACATGGCCCTTGAATATATTTTCATTGTATTCATTTTTTCCTCTTTTTTTTCTTCTCCCCAGCATTGGAAGGTTTTGACAGTGGCATCTTCCCAAAAAAGGGCAACAGCAAGTACACAATCCCTGACCGAGTGACATGGGGCCTGAGACAATTCCTCCGACAACTTGACTTTATGTGAAGGTAGGCAAGTTATGTTTATGTCAATGTACATGTAATTTGGTCTGCTCCATCAAAACCAATCTCAATGTTGAATGAAAAAGAGCACCCTGACACCTCTTTACAAAGGATATTCTATAAAAGGTGTAGTTTAAAGAAAGCGTTTCTTACGGAGTAAGGAATGTCTCGACAATCTCTAAAGAGATTTTGGGAAAAATATTGCCACCTATTGCAGTTTCTTATGTGCACATACATTTCAAAAGAGGTCTTTTGTGAAACAATGAAGACTTCCAATGCATTAACCAGAAAGTAAGAGAATGAGAAAGAATTGCAGAAATTCACAAAAACTTTTGAGGAGTCATTGACTAAAATGTGAACAATTGTCATCAAAAAGTGTGAAAAGAACACTTGTTGACAAAAATTAATATTTCAATTGTCTTTATTGGAAAATGATAATTAGTCAACTCGGTCTAACTCAGAATTAACTAGTAAGAAAACGAGAATGCAGAAAATCAATGGAAAAAAGTTTTGAGGAGTATTTGAATGTGACCACTTTTTCATTACAAAAATGTGAAAAAGTAGACTTGCTAACTTTGTGACCCCAAAACCTTCCTTGGGAAAATACTATCAGCTCAGTCTAACTCCTCTAGAATTAACTTTAATATGACATGCATTCATTCGTTTCGGACATCTAGACCTAGTGTGAGTTTTGGTTTTGATGGTGTGAGACCTTAAACTTTCTTCAAACCTTACTGTGACTTAAGAATCAGTGAAGCCTGGATGCACTGGTTGAAATATCATCCTATTAAAGTTTTGAAAGAGGTTAAGCATTTCATCATGAGTCTTATGTTAAAGATCCAACTGAATGAATATTATAAATCTGTCTCATTTAAAATCCAATTGGGGCTACTACATGTAGTAGTTCTTTTTCTTAAAACTACTCATTATTTTTTTTCTGATTTGAGATCTGCTTTTGATATAGTCCAGATGATCACTTGTTTTGTAAAGTATCATGGGCAGTATTTGAAAGGGTTTATTGATAAACTACACCTGACTGTTATAGCAACCTAGACTCTCCTGAAGACGGTCAGAACATACTGACCAGAACGTTGAGTTTATACCTCTGACTCTTTTCAGAACCATTCTCTTAGTTGAGAAATTATTCGCACATGGTGTTTCCGCAAACGTCTCATTTGTTAGCAACCTATAAGTTGCATTATAATTAGGCCACTTGCAAATTGGAAAAAAAAATTTCCCCCACTGATTACATCAGATAGTTAACTTGCATTTGAACACTGTAAGAAAAGTCTGGACCAAGTATTTATGGGAGATTTTTAGGCAAAAATGTTGAGGCGATATTAAACCCCTTGTTTTTAATCAGTTGTGTTAACTGTGAATCAAAACTTGTCTGCATAATTAGCAATTTGGATAGGTTTTTCCAGACTTTGACCAAGTCAGTCTTGCTTGAACCTAGAGCATTCATTTGTTAGGAGTAGAAAGGATGTTTAAAATGGGCACAAAAAATTCAACAAATTCAAAGATGGAATTTGAATTTCTTAACTGGTTTGATTCTGGTTTCAATTTTATTTCCATATCAGTTTTCCCCTTCAGACTTTAACTGAATGCTAAAACGTCTGTTTCCTTAAAAAAAAAAAGTGTTGCATGTAAATTTTATTAAACCTAGGTTTTATTAAAATATGATTTTTAGAAATCTAGAGTGAAAAGGTAGAAATAGGCAATTGAGAAAAGCCTGTGCATCCTGACAAATATCTTGTCAATATACTTAGAAAGCTTCTGAATCAACTTTTGTGTCTATCAGTTCAAATCTTGCCTTCAAATTTAGAGGAGTGTAATAAGCAGGTTTCCTTATACTTCCAATGGCATCAACCATTGACCAAAGGTGTAACAATTCCAGTTGTGGATGAAGTATGTGCCTCAGTTCAGAGGATTATGTGCAGAATTGAGCACATTCATTAATCTGAGCAGTATTTTTTTAACCAGACTAGGAAGTGCGGACTAGCCCCACCTAGTGGTAAGTTGGCCTTAATGCGCCTGTCTGGATGAGAGTACTGTGCAGCAATAAAAAAATAAAACAAACTGTTACAGTGTTTTGAAAATTCAAGGGTTTGTTCATTGGTTGATGCTGTATTAGAAGTCTTGAAAGAAATAATTTGTTTACACTGGTATAACGCATATATTTGCTGCCATGAGGCTTCTTTTTTTTGTAAACTTTTGGAAAAAATGTTGCAACCTGACGCCACTTCTGCGATTGTGTACAAAGTCTATGGAGAGTCAAGAAAAGTTTATAAGTATTTCCTAACAAAATTGAATTTGGAAATGTTTCTCAGTCCCAGATTCATGTCTTTTCATTTATTGGGGTGATATCTGAAGAAAAAGTGGCATCAGGTTGCAACATTTTTCCACACTTAGTGTAATGTTCAATTTGTGAATGTTCTTGTAAAATCAGTTAAACTCTGTGGTTGGTGGAAGGAGGTGAACTTTGAATAAAATGTCAAGAAACTACATTCCATCTGATTTTACAAAAACATGTCACAATTGTATTTTTTTTTCTAGTGAGAGCATTTGTTTTGATCATCAGAGAAAGGGTACAAATAAATGTAGTTCGTGAGAAACTGATAGCATTGTTTTAAGTGGCAGTATTGTCTGAGTTACATTGGGTGGAAGTGGGAATGGTTTTAGATGTGGGTTGGGACAAAATAGACAAAATAATTCTTTACAAATCACTGATGATTAAAACAAATGTTCTCACTGCTTAAATAGACTAGAATTAGAATTTGCTCTCTTTTTTTTTTGGATTAAAAAAAATGTGTTTAGGCCAACAAAACAAGTTGTGTTTCCGAAAAGATTCCCATATCTGGCCATCACTCATTTTTCCCTTCAGTGACCTATCAGTCAGCAGAAAGTGATATTTCCTAAAAAGTCAAATTTAGCAGGGTAAATATTGAAGTATTTACTAGAAAAACACTTTTTTTTCAGACAGTCTCATACGGTTTGTGCACAGGGTGTCGAGTGATGGCCAGATATGGGAATCTTTCCGTGTTTCGTATTACATAAAAATGGGTGGTTGGGTGGGTAAAAAGGAGAATCAACTGTTCATTCTGTATGCTGTGCTGTTTGTAGGCTACACTGTCTAGCATCTTGCAAAAAAAGAAAGAAGTAAAGTATTTTTTAAAAGCAGGACAATGTCATCAAAACAAGGTTTGGGGCAGCACCTAATTGTTTTGGGGGGGTTCAGTTTACATTTTTTCAAAAAAAAAGGATTTTGGTTCTTGATGATTGTTCTGTTGGGTTGGGTAATAGGAAACATTTTTTGTTGGCCTAAGTCTCATTAATTTGATATGGTAGGGAATTAATGTATCTGTTAGCCATAGAGCTATATTAAATTACTAGAGCGCTGACTCATATACAAAGTGCTGCCTGCTGGGCGCATCCATGTTTGTGCACATACCTATGGAAAACTCAAAAGTTTGTACGGCTTTTGTGAGGCTATTTGCATATTTGCATTTGTATTCTATACAGGTGTGTTACCGAAGCCGATATGCCCAAAACCGAAATGCACGATCTGCAAATGAGCGTTTCAATTTGCTCTACGCAAACAGCGCAACGCGTGCGCGCGCGTATCCACTGCAGATGATTAACTGTGAATTTTTTTGTAACCGTAATGACGCGCTTAAGTTGTTTGTGTACGTTCTACTTGCGCATTGCATTTAGAGTACACTTTCAAAATTCAATCCATTATGTTCAACAAACATGCACATGAATTCAAAATGTTTGCGTCCAGGACGGCTTCAAGCGTCTCCGCGCGCAAGAATGAGGAGTTAGCGCTCTAGTAATTTAATATAGCTCTTTGCTGTTAGTGCAGAACGCTGCAGATTTGTTATGGAGGGTACCATTTCAAATGAATACTTAGTCAGATCATGGGTCTCGTAACTAACAGAATGCCATCAACTTAACTGAGTCAAATTAGAACAATACTAAAGTAGTGGATATTGAACTCCATAATCAAGCAATAATTCTGGTATGGAGTCACTTAACTTTACCCAGCCATTTTCAAATTTGATCAACATTTTTTGTTGAAATATTACTCAGTGACAACTTATGCTGTTTTTTGAGATGGCATTCTGTTTCTTGTTCCTATGAGCTGTTGTATTTTTCACACTTGTTTTCTTTCACAATGACGGTGGTTCGTATTTGACAAAAATATTACCATTCCAAATATGAAGGGAAAAAAAACAGTAATTCTGAAAGTTGTCAATAACACGTGACTTTTTAGATGCAGATTTAAGATTCTTGTGTTTCATGTCAACAATTCACAGACGTTAAAGTTGCTCTCTGCTCATGCTATTTTTCGAGTTTCACCCCAAAAATATATTTCTGGTTTTATTTTAGTATTGCAAAAGTTATTCACTTCTGAATGATGTGATATAGAATAAAACAAAATCCACCTACATTAATTTATGGAATAAAATACCTCAAATCTTTTGAATAATTGGCAGCCTGACACTTATTCTGGCAAATCTTGTGCATTGAAGGTGCAAAAGCAACCAGAAATATGTGGGGGGTTTTTCAGAGGGCTTTAGAGGGATGTATCTTTTTTAATTATTTGTTTTTGGTATTAATTAAATAACCAATAACGATTGGAAATTATTTAGTGAAAGCACAGAGAGAGCAACTTTATGGTAGAAGATTGTGTAGACCTTTTAATATGTGACTAGTAATAAAAACTTGTGCACAAGGCCCTCGTTGAAAGGATTGCAGGACTTACATCAGTCTGGGAATGTGAAGTAAAGCGTCTCCGTCTTTCTTCTGGATCCGTAATTCTCCATGGCTATAAAATGAATGTCAGCCTAAACTACTATGAGTATAAGCTGCGCAAAAGTGTCTACAAAGCAATCAAGAAGAGTATAACTTGCTGCTGTGATCCTTTTCCTCTGCCGTCATTACACAAAAGGTGTCCATGTCTGCAGAGCTGAGCAAGACACTGCAGCCAGACGTTACTACGACAAAGAAAAGCAATGCCAGTACAATATGACGTGGTTTCTGATGTGGTGAACCTGAGGTCTCGTGGCGATGGCCGGAGGATGTTAAAGGTCTCCCTATTGCAGACTTATTGTTTTGTGGCGATGGCTATGAAATGTAGGTCCGCATAACCGCCATAATCTACCCGAAAGTGCATGTGTCCACAGCAACACACGTTCCCAATTCCCGGGCATTACTGTAATGACGTCGTAATTGAAGGCACGTGGTTCATAACGTGGTGGACCTAAGGTCTTGTGGGAATGGCCATAGGATGTAGGCCTCCCCATATAGCCGACTTATTGTTTTGTGGGGATGGCCATGAAATGCAGCAAACCACCATTAGGTCCTACTATCCAGAAGTGCCTGTGTCCGAGATGCGAGACACTACCATCATCATGACTAATGTGGAATAGATATGTAATTAGTGCGTGGCTTATGATATGGTTGACCAAACTTCTCGTGGCGATTGCCATGGAACACTATAAAACATGTCACCATATGACAACCGTAACTGCACAAAGATGCCTGTACATGTACATGTCTGACAAAGTGAGACAATATCATGCTAGTTGATTTGCTGAGCTGGCCAGCTTAATAGTGGAGACCTGACTAAACTGGAGATGGAGGACACACAGCAAGTAATAAATGACCATCTAGTGAGTGGATGCCTGTATGATAAGTCCTCACACAGTTCTCTGTCAAGCAACAGACACCTGAGACACTTCCAGAGTTCCATCACAATGGACGTCTTCATCACCCAGGCAGATGGAGTCCTGTGCCATCAGAGCATCAGCTAGGGCCTTGTGCACTATTTGTTGACTGGTTTGATGTGGGACATTTTTTTATCACCTGAAGGGTGCCATGCAACCCGAGGGGTCCCACGCAACCTGAGGGGTGCCACGCATCCTGAGGGGTGCCACGCAGCCTGAGGGGTGCCACGCAACCAGAGGGGTGCCACGCAACCAGAGGGGTGCCACGCAACCCGAGGGGTGCCACGCAACCCGAGGGGTGCCACGCAACCCGAGGGGTGCCACGCAACCCGAGGGGTGCCACGCAACCCGAGGGGTGCCACGCAGCCTGAGGGGTGCCACGCAACCAGAGGGGTGCCACGCAACCAGAGGGGTGCCACGCAACCTGAGGGGTGCCACGCATCCTGAGGGGTGCCACGCAACCAGAGGGGTGCCACGCAACCCGAGGGGTGCCACGCAACCCGAGGGGTGCCACGCAACCAGAGGGGTGCCACGCAACCCGAGGGGTGCCACGCAACCTGCCTGAGGGGTGCCACGCAGCCTGAGGGGTGCCACGCAGCCCGAGGGGTGCCACGCAACCCGAGGGGTGCCACGCAACCCGAGGGGTGCCACGCAACCCGAGGGGTGCCACGCAACCCGAGGGGTGCCACGCAACCCGAGGGGTGCCACGCAACCCGAGGGGTGCCATGCAGCCTGAGGGGTGTCAAAAATGCAATATGTCCCACAACAAATTAGTAACTAGTATGAACAATTCACAATGCAGTGTGCCACCAAGAATTTCTTGAATGTGTCACTTTTCAACTTCACGGTCAATATCCTGCATAATCCTGTAGTTATGCATGTGCCTGTTCATTTTTTACAAAAAAAACTCTTTAGTAGTTTTCACACACAAGTTCTTAAAAGTTAAAATTCAAAAAACCCGAAACTGTTTTTATTTCATAGGGCTATATTCAAAAGAAATACAGGTTTTGTAATTTTTGTGTGAAAAGAACTTCTTTCTGCAATGACCTCTTGTCAGCACACTGCATTGTGAATAGCTTTGATTTTATTTTATTGTATTTTTTTAAATATTGTATCTTTAAGTTGGTTCTACTGGCTTGGTAGCAGTGTCATTTATAAGCAACAGAATATAGGTGACAGACTTTCTGAAGTATGTAATATTAGGTTGTTGGTTTCAGCTGTATGGTTTACCAAGTCGAGTCACGAAACTTTTTTTTGGAAAGAATGTTGCAACCTGATACTGCTTTTTTCTTCATACACATATATCATCTCAATGAAGCTCAGTCATTGCAAAAATGATAAGACATGAATCTGGGACTGAGAAACATTTCCAATTTTGTTAGGAAATAACATAATAACAATTTTTAGACTCCATAAACTGAAGCAGTGTCATGTTGCAACATTCTTTCCCTTTTTTTTTAAACGAAAATAGTTGATACATTTTCATAACGGGTGGCCCCATATCATGCTATCAGTTTAGCTGCAGAAGTCTGGAGTCACTCCCACTTTTTAATTTTGCAAAAGTTGATATATTGCGTGATTTTGCCCCGCTGTAAGTCAAACAATAAGTTACACCTTTTGGCCTGTTGAAATCTAGAAATAGTAAAATTTAAGATGTGTTAGTCTGTATGAAGCACACATCTGCACTTTTGCTATTCTAGTCTTAAGTTTACCTATGACAACTTGTGATTGCCTAGCTAAGATTTCTTTTTGTAGTTTTAAAATGTTGACTGTGCCTCAAACTTTTTGGCTCTGACAAAAAGTTTGAGAAGTATAACTAGATCACTCGAAGATTTGAATTACAGTTTCTTTCAATTCAAAATAATACAAAATGAATGATGGGCCAAAATGCCAAGATCTGCTGATTTATGGGATGGGGATTTTCTTGGAAACCTGTATGACATTTGACTTGGTTTTATTGGAACTAGGGTCTGGGGTTGTTTTTTTTTTGGGGGGGGGAGTTTACATGCCAAATTTTTAACCACTTGTTTTTAGTGTTTGGCATTATTTCTCAATGTATGTAAACATTTCTCAGAATTTCAGAAGCAGTTATGGTTTTTCCTATAAAAATTGTTGATAATTTTTAAACGTTTTGTTCGGCTGTATTCTGCCACATTTGTACCATAAATTCCTTTTTAGCCAAACCTTTCTCGTTCTTGCATATGTTTTACATCCTTTCAGCAAGACTGACTTAAGATGTGGTCTGTAAATTCACCAACAGAAATTATTCCACAGTACTCCATTTAAAAAGAAAACCTATCGTATCATGCATTAAGAATATTACAAATACATGTACATCTCTCTTTTTTTGCCTCAAAATCTCCCCGAATATGATCATGAACAATCAAACCTGATCCATTGCTTCTTTAAAAAATTAAGATGATTCTTTTCTTGAAATGAAAAACTGCCATGGTTCTAGTATAGTCCCAACTACATTGTAATCGAATAAAAGTTTTAAATGAGACAGATTTATAAGTTATTAAATGGTTAAACTTTTAGACTTTTTTGGCTGACCAACGTTGAACGTGATCGGGCAGGGTACAAGATGTGCTCACTTATAGTAGATGCAAAAAGACTATTAGCAATGCAGGGTGGCCACCTTTTTTGATTGAAATATATTTCAAGAAACAAATTGATAAAACATTTTGAAGCCGTGCTTTTGCAGCTGAAGGTTCATCGTCTCAATCACTTGAAAGAAGCTCTTGTGTAACTGCAAGTTATCTTTTTTTAAAGGATCTTAAAAAGTTAAATATACATGCGTCTGATTTAATAGTGTTGTATTTTTGGCCACCCTGATTTTGTTGTAAATTAAACATCCTGTACCCTGCTTAGAAAATAGGTAACCTACCGACACTAACCTTTGCAATTATTTGGTTTCTTTTTTACATGCACAAACTGGCAAATGTTGAGAAGAACGGGAGACATGTGCCAACCCCAACTCCATGACAGCTGAGTAGATGTACACCATTACACCTGCAGCTAATGGCAACAACGTCACTGAAGTGACTCACTCTGCTGCTAGCTTGAACCTGTTGGGTTTCTCGTTATCCAGACTCGATGAGGCTCGTCTTAATGGGGCAAATCCATGGCAATGGGAGGAAGGAAAGCCTGTCAGCAAACAGTGTGAATTGTGCATGATCTTCAAGTGCAAACTCCATCGCTGATGTTGCTCACTTCAACTGCTGCGTCCAACTTCAACCTGTGTGGTTCTCATCAAGACTGGATGGGCATGTCTTTGGGCATCCAAAGAAGGGATGCTAAGACGGCACACAGTGTGAACTGTGCATCATCTACAAGTGCAAACTCTATCGCTGATGTTGCTCACTTCAACTGCTGCATCCAACTTTAACCTGTGTGGTTCTCATCAAGACTGGATGGGCATGTCTTTGGGCATCCAAAGAAGGGATGCTAAGACAGCACACAGTGTGAACTGTGCATGATCTACATGTGCAAACTCTATCGCTGATGTTGCTCACTTCAACTGCTGCGTCCAACTTCAACCTGTGTGGTTCTCATCAAGACTGGATGGGCATGTCTTTGGGCATCCAAAGAAGGGATGCTAAGACAGCACACAGTGTGAACTGTGCATGATCTACATGTGCAAACTCCATCGCTGATGTTGCTCACTTCAATTGCTGCATCCAACTTCAACCTGTGTGGTTCTCATCAAGACTGGATGGGCGTGTCTTTGGGCATCCAAAGAAGGGATGCTAAGACGGCACACAGTGTGAACTGTGCATCATCTACAAGTGCAAACTCTATCGCTGATGTTGCTCACTTCAACTGCTGCGTCCAGCTTCAACCTGTGTGGTTCTCATCAAGACTGGATGGGCATGTCTTTGGGCATCCAAAGAAGGGATGCTAAGACGGCACACAGTGTGAACTGTGCATGATCTACAAGTGCAAACTCCATCGCTGATGTTGCTCACTTCAATTGCTGCATCCAACTTCAACCTGTGTGGTTCTCATCAAGACTGGATGGGCGTGTCTTTGGGCATCCATAGAAGGGATGCTAAGACGGCACACAGCGTGAACTGTACATGATCTACAAGTGCAAGCTCCAAGGCTGATGTTGCTCACTTCAACTGCTGCGTCCAGCTTCAACCTGTGTGGTTCTCATCAAGACTGGATGGGCGTCTCTTTGGGCATCCAAAGAAGGGATGCTAAGACGGCACACAGCATGAATTGTGCACGATCTACAAGTGCGTACTCTATCATTGATGTCGACTTGATCCAGTTGAACTCTCATAATCAAAGATAAATGGACTCATCTTATGAAAAAATCGCAAATCCATGGCAATAGCACACTGTTAATTACATTAGTGTTGCCGCTAAGGCTGTATAAAATTGAAACTTTGAGCTGTGGAAACGACCCAGAAAGGTTGTGAAACTGTTCTCTTTCTATTAATTTTGAGTTCAAATTAATTTTGAATTGGAATATTCAAATTTTTTCCATCTTGGCAGATAATGCTTTTCTGACTTAATGTTGGAGATCGTTATTCTGACTTAATGTTGGAGATCGCTATTCTGCGTCTCCTTGGTCAATAGTTGAATTGTTGGGATGATGAGCTAGGAGTCCACAATCTAAATTATCATTCAATTATTTTGCCATGGATTTGCCAAGATATTTCAATGGAAAATACTTAAGAGAGAACCAGGTACATGTCACTGATAACGAAAGTCAAATTTAAACTTTTGGAGAGTTTCTTAAAACTCAAATAAAATCCCAAATTTCTTATTAACTGAAGATTTTTAACAGTACATAGCTCTGTACTTCCTTTCCATAATCTGGAGGTCATTGTTGATCAGACATGGCAGTACTTTGCGCAGATGCAAATTAAACATTTTATTTGATTTCATCTATAACAAAACTGTTGTCCTGTTGCCGTTTGCGAGTTAGCCAACCCTATGGAGTTTTTGTACACAATGCTTTATTTGTTTCAGATTTTGCGCATTCCGAGTCCATTCGAATATCACGTAATGGGACAATATTACACAAGCTGCGTTGACGCGATTCTAACGTGACTCTTCCGCGATAGGTCAATTCCTTTAAAAAAAGAGCTAACTTTACGCAGGATACTAAAAAGAAAAGGTTTAAATACTGACATGTGCCTGGTTTGTTATTTTTTGTTGCAATAAATTTATCGCTTATCATATTTGCAATATTTCAAACATTGCATTTTCTTGATGTAAAATACTTATGTTATAACAACATTTAAATATATCAATATTTTATTTAGTATTTTATAAATGTTTGTGTTTACACTAGCACATCACATGAATATTTCTGCAATGCAGGCTCGAAATTGTACATGTACATATTTTTTTGACACTTGAAAAACAAGTTGTCTTTCCTATATATTTGGTAATTGGCTGTAACGCTTCAACTTTTTTGAAAACGAGAGGCAAACTTACCCTCTGAAATTTTTGTATGACGGTTCTGTATGAAAACAGACGCCATGAAGATTAAGACTCCTTTTCCATTTATAGGTTAAACACTCGTGCGACTGGTCACATAATTATCTTCACTTAGGCATGCGCAATACTACCAATGAGTCTGTATTTGATAGACATCTAAATTCACGCTACGACGGCATATTGCATTCAATACTTCTTCGTATATTTTGAAAGAAAAAAAGATCTTGTGGTTTATGGAGCATTAATGTTTCATGTGATGTGCTAGTGTTAGCCGTTTTGTGCCCATTTCTTCAAATAAAACGAGTGTTTGGTTTCTTTAGTGGTGTGATTATTTTAATTGTATCTGCTGTCTACTCTATATTTCAAGAGAAAAAAAATGGAAAAAAAAGATGGAAATTTATTATGCGCCTAATTTAAGCCCAAATTTGAATGGCCGTTTTAGTTGTGAAATAACATGCATCTTAACTCTAAACGCTGCAATAGTTGGAATTTTTTAAAGTAGACAGCAGATACAAGGTGTTAACTTGGGGTTTTCGGGGGGGGGGGGGTGGTTAACGAATACTAAACTAATGAAAACTAATGAGGGCGCTGTCACACTTGTCATTTTAGGGGTACTAGCACGAATTGAAGTTATTTGAAAAAAACTTGTTTTGAGAAAATGGCATTATAGCGCCCTCGGGGTTGGGGGTTATAAAAGAGACTAGCGCCCTCTATTTGTCTGGGTATTTTTAAATAAAGTATAAAGCATATAAAAGTGCAAAGTAGATAATGAAATAGACCAAGTTTTTCATTAAAAAAAAAGAATCTAAAGAGATATATGTGTCTGAATGTTTTTATTTTTTTTTAGTTGTATTTTTTTTAAATAAAATTTGCACTGTGACCTTTGACATGACCTTTCAACTTTGACCCGACCTTTGACCTAACCCTTCAACTTTGACATAACCCTTGACCTGACCTTTGAACTTTGACCTGACCTTTGAACTTTGACCTTTCGCCCGGCCAAAAAAAAAGCCCAGCCACACACAGGCCCCCCCGGTGCGCACACGCATGTCCCCGCCCACAGACACCAACAAGCAGCAGTCACCCAACTACCCACACCAACTTGTGACCAACTATTGATGAGTGTAAACAGCGCCCTCTAGATCTTGCAAGTTGTGCAATCATGGATAACCCAAGTAGAAAACAACATAATAAGGATCCTATTAAACTCCGACAATCGGTTCAGTTTTCTACAAGGCAGATGGTACTTTGGGTTTTTGGTTATGACCGTTGCCACGGTAACCCACCATCTACTCTAAGAACGACAATTAAAGAGACACTCTGCATCTTTTCCGTTATTGTTCCTCTCAACATATCAGCCGTTCACAGTTACATCATGCCAATTAATCCGATCAAATAAAATACCCAGCATTCAGTTTCCTTGTCATGAAGATTTTCTTGGATATTTCCAGTGTCGGATAATATCTAATCAATCGTAATGGCCACAATTACATTGGTAAATTTCCACAGTTTTAACTCTAATTGTTATGCTGTTTTTACAGCAGTTGTTTTTACAATTTACATGTACGTCTAACGAACAAATCGTACATTTGTTACTGACACACGGTAGATGATACCACACGTATAATGCTCAATGTTTTCCTTTGTAGAAAAGGACAAGTTTAATTTTACTTACTTTCAGCTGCAAAAATATTGTGGTGAAAATTCACCAAGTTAACCTGTATTTATGTACAGGTAGTTCCAAACGGAAATTTTACAGACTATCGTGCAAGCATAAGAGTAAACAAGGCTTTTGGTAGCACACAACTTTCCCAAATGTTTAAGTAAAGTTAATAATTTGTAAGGTACATGTACTACATGTATTTCCTTAGTAATTTTTCATGGAGAATTTTCAGTGTAATTTTCAGTCAAGGCTATTAGAAGATGCCTTGCATGTAGATGTACATGTAGATGTACATGTAGATGTAGATGCACGTGTAGATGCACGTGTAGATGCACGTGTAGATGCACGTGTAGATGCACGTGTACATGCACATGTACATGTACATGTACATGTACATGTACATGTAGATACATGTACATGTACCACACTTCAATGTTTCCAACAAATATTGAGAGGAGCAAAGTTTTTCAAGCTCCATAAATTTTTGGACGAGATTCTCGTGCAAAGATTCCAGTATTTGAATTCATCCTGATTACAAATATTATATTTTCAACTGAAGAATTGTTAGCCATTCTTTTCTGGCTTTTAGTTGTGTCATCACCTTTCGAAAACATTCTTTGGTTCATAATATTGTATACGCCAATGTTTTTGGCACGAAAACGTTGACAAAATGTATTGCCAAGTTTTACTTTGGTTTGCTGTACGCAGTACTTTATTTGGTTGTTCAAGTCAAGTCTAACAGACAATTTGTCTTTCCAAAGTATAGGCAAATTTGCTTTTCTGGGTAGCCAAAACAATGAATTGATTCAAAGGTTAGATTGAATCTTTTTCTCGATAGAATCCAATTTTATTTTCGTTTTCTTCTACGATCCTGGCATGCCCTTCTGAAGAACCATACAGCTCAGTGACTCGGTGGATGATGTGGTAGCAATCTGCCCGTCAGCATCCATAGAAACTGTGACATCCAATATGACACGGGGGAAGCCTGTCCCGTCGCCCATGCTAAGTTTAATTGAAGTTTTCATTAATTCATGCACTGTACAATTCATGGTTATACATCCTCATTGTTACTCATTAAACCCAATGATTCTCATGGCATAACTGGAGTAGGCATGCCTGCATAAGGCAGGTAATGTACATGCTCACATGCAAACCTAGGCAGGTCCTGGGAAATTGAATTAAAATTATAAACAGAAGCACTGAAATAATAAGTCTATGAATGTTCTCGGCCTCTAAGCAACCGCGACATTGACGCTTTTGAAATTTGGACGGTAACCATGTAACGATGTAACGGACAACTTGCATAACTACACCCAGCCTTGACTGTAAAACTTCATTACGTAACAAGTTTTAGTGACACTACGACGTGTGTTCAAGTGTGCTTCTGTGACACAAAGAGGCTACAAGTTTGTGCATATTCGACCGTCAAAAGAGGATTACTTGTTCTCTGTGTAATTTTGTACACGTGTGTTATCTTGTTGGCGCATGTCGTGTTTCATATATTGCCTCTTACGCGCAGGCAAAGCAGAAGCATTTACAGTTTATGCGTTGAGTCCTTAATCAAATGCTTGTGCCAAACAGTTGCGCAAAGAATTCATCAACTCAAAGAATGTCAGCTTTCACTTTGAGGATGTTACAAAATTTTGAATTTCTGCAACAATATCACCTCAGAAAATGAGGTGATATACAATGTATCAATAATGAGTAATTCCGTTTAGGGCTCGCCCAATGACGGCCATCTCTGTAGGAGACTGCAATGTTCTGCATATTTTACGCAATCAAGTACGCGCGGCACAATGTTGAAAATGTTCCAAACACACGCGCTTGTTGCTCGAAATGCATTCGAAACATGATGCAGCCAATGCGCGATATGCAAGTTTCACGCTCAAAATGCCGATGCACGTGGATGGTCTGTAGGAAACGACGTCATTTGAACGAGACCTATATTGCAATGGGTGATAACCAACCAGTAAAGTACATGTTCAAACTTCTGGACTGGTTCCTACCAGTCCTCTGTTCAAAGAGGACAATGACAAGCAAGGAACCAGCCTATGTTTTCTTTTGGTTTCTACCACATAGTACAATCATGCAAGGAGCCCGAATTAAGTAAGGCATTAAACACAACAGCGTCTATTGTTCAGTTGTCTGCGTTAATATCAGTAATTTTGGATTTTCCCAGGACCTGCCTAAGCAACACTCTACTTTTAATTTCTTGGTCTTTGACATTAGCCACGATCGTGACAGCAAAGTACGGCCAAATGCGAAATATTCCGACATTTCATCTATCGTTTTCTTTCACAAAGGGTTGACGGAGATAACGTACCATCTAAGAACTATTTCCTGCATAAATCTTAGTCCGACTGTAATTTATATATTTTAAATGAGTGTTAAAATTTCTAGCCTGCATGTTTAATATCCCTACGAGTTTTCTACTTGAAATTTATCAGAATACTATCATACGATGGATGCCAACTTCAAAAATATACTAATGACTCTGTACACATAGAGGATTGTGAATATTGCAAAACCGAAACAGACAATTTTTGGTTGTCTTTATCTACAGTTTACAGAAAATATCAAGGCCCTACATGCACATGTTGTTTATCTGAATGTAGTGCTAGCAGTTACATATCCCAGAGAGACGCATGTAATAATTATGAAACCTGTGTTAAATTAGCAGGAAAAAAGTGTTCCTTGTTACAAGTTTCATTACGAGTAATTAAATTTTAATCATCTGTCATTCTTGAACATCTTACAAGTACCATCAACAACTTGGCAGATGACTCGTTGGAAAAAAACATGATCTCTTCAAAAATTGTGAGATAAAACTCTTGCTGTAAATAAACTTCAGTCGCAAATGTTTCCCCCAAAAAAGTCTAGCTGGAAGAATTAAAAATGCTGAAAATCTGACTGCAAGACTTGTTCCTTGTCACCCTAGTTAAGAACAGCATCATCATGAAACCTATGCAACTCCCCACATCTTAGAATTTTCCCTACATGGTTCAATTTATTTTAAGGGAATAATCTGACTTAACTAAGCAAAACGGTTATCAAACCTACTTTATGTAATACTCCTGAAATGCTTTCAATGTAGAAACTATCAAATGGAAATCTTCCAACTTTGAACATAAAGAAATCCTATCGATTAGCATCTTATTATTCGATACTTGAGCTAGACATAGTTAAAAGATGGTATCTCCACTCAACAAACCTTCAATTTCAAGTCCGAAGAGAATATAAACAGTTTGTTTAAACTACAGTTCATTTTTTGCATTTACACAGATGCGCATTTTCCGCACATGCCGTCGTTGAGTCCTTTGTCTTCGTGAAAATTAAATTCTTTTCAACAAGGTCCTACACTGTCGTAAGGACAGTTTCGACATGGAAAAACATGTGACATGGAGCTGTGATAGTCTTCAGTCTATGGCAATACCAACAATGTCCCAAAAGTTCTCCATTTCTTCTAATGCTAGAACACTATCAGCACTGGGATTTGGTCCATGGTGCTTACATGAATGCAAGTATTGCTAGTAGGCAGCAACGTCCTTACAATTTGCTTATGATGTTTAAAACAAATGTATCCAGCGAAAATAAATTTCGGACTTATTGCTGAGAATTTTGTTACAAATTTGAAATAAACATTTTTGACATAGATTTGGTTTGCTGGTGCAATTAACTCTTGAAAATATGCCTTTGGGATTTTCTCGCTTTTCTTTTTCTTCTGACTTTTTCCAGTCACGATGAAAAATGTACATGAAGAAATGAAGAACTTTTGGGACATTTTGGTTCCTACATCACATGAT